TTTCTTTTATTTACACATAGTGATCCTGCCACTTAAGTGTAATTAAACCCACATAAATAAAAACTATCAATAAATGCTGTATTACATGCTGTTCATACTCACTCAATCACTATAAGATTCATTTTCTGTTTTCTGCAAAAAACCTGGCTGATCCTGCTGTTCTTTGTCTCCCCCTCCTATCCATGTCCCCACTGCAGTTGGGAATTCTATAGAGCAGCGTTGGCAGCTAGTGCACATGCTCAGTTTTCAGTGTATTTTCTACCCTGAGCATTTCCACCCTATTACATCTATACAGCCCATGTGACTATAGAGTCATACATGTGGGTGTATACACAGAGGTAAATGACAGCCCACTCCCTCCTTCCTCCCGCCTGCTAATCAGCTAAACACAGTGGGGGGGGGGGATATTACATCTTGATTGATGGAGGCTTCACCTCCCTGTTATTCTAAGACACTGGCTGGAGGGATGTGACACAACACAGATTGTATGAAAATTTAAAACTGTTTATTGGTATTAATTATATATTGCTTTTAATTATTATTTATTTACTGTTTATTGGTATTAATTATTTATTTTTACTCTGTGTCACAAAGGCTGTTTTTTTTTGTTTTTTTTTTTTTTTTTGGGGGGGGGGGGGGGTTATTTCAGCATGTGAACAGCAGCAGAGGACTAGAAGCTCCCCCTGCCACTGTTTCCCTGCAGACAGGCTGGGAAAGAGCTGGGTCATGTTCAACTGTATATCGATTAGGAAAGACATACTTTTTTTTCAATTAAAATAATTACAGAGCCATCACCCACCTACAGAAAGAAGGGATCATGTAAATTAAACAGTGTGTGATTAGTGGCACTTTAACAGTTCCTGTTCTAGGGCAACAACACTCACATACTGTAGTGTATAACATTGTTATCCTATGTTTATTTATTTATGTATTTATTTATTATAGGTACTTATATACCACTATCAATTTACGCAGCACATTACATATATATTGTACATTCACATCTGTCCCTAACCCTCAAGGGGTGTACAATCTAAGGTTCCTAACTCACATTCATACATACACATACTAGGGCCAATTTAGACAGGAGCCAATTAACCTACCAGCATGCATTTGGAGTGTTGGAGGAAACCAGAGTACCCGGAGGAAACCCACACAGGCACAGGGAGAACATGCAAACTCCAGGCAGGTAGTGCCGTGGTTGGGATTAGAGTCAACAACACTAGTACTGCCTGGCAGAAGTGCTAACCATTTAGCCGCTGTGCTGCCCACATCTTTCACTATCCTTCTCTATAGCATAGCAGGTAGTCCTATCACACATACACTTGTTTTAAATAACACTGCAGAGAGCACAGGACACCGGGAAGAAATAGATTTCTGGCAGGATCAGTAGTTTTTTTACACCCATTGAGCAGATCTAGCAAAATGTTTTAAGGGTATATTTATCAGACCAAAAGGAAGAATATAAGTGAAGTTCATTGTTTGGGTTAACAAACATTGTAAAGTATCTAAGACAACCTTCCCCAATATGTTTAATACATGCGAACCCTTGAAATTATGTTCCAGTCTGAAGGAACTCCTGCTAAATTAATATATCAATGAGGCACAATAAAATAATGTGAAAGTTGTAGTTATAATATTTAAAAATAAAGTATGTAGTCTACCCAGTGTATTAGATCATGACAGATTTAACACTGTCTTGCTGGTCAGCATAAATCATGAAAAGACAAAACATATATAAACCTAGCTCAGATTTTAACTCCACGGATATGTACTGTAGCACAAAAAGGGAAAAAAAAAACAATAATCACTGTGAAATAATACTACCTGAAATAACAAAAATGAAACAAAAATATTTACAATACAATTAGTAATACAACATGCTGTAAAAATCAGGCCATTCTGATTGAGAAAGTTTAGGCACTTTCTGGTAACATTCCCCAATTCTTTCTGCCTTCAGTGTTTATCTTTTTTTTTAATGCAATAAATATGAAATATTGCTGATGATTATTTTGTATGAACATATTCAGCCAACAGATTGAGCTTTTTACTCATTTTCATGTTTTCAAGGCTTTTTTTTATTTCTTGTGTTGAAAAAGTCTGTTGTTTTACTTACTTAGTTAAAGCCATCATAGTGAAGGACCAATGTGTTGTAGACGACAGGTAGGGTAAAGCTTTGACACTGCCAGAAAGCTTTGACACAGTCAGAACTTCAACTTAAAAGTGTATCTATGGACAAAATGCTAAATCATATATTCATTTGCACATTGCATTTCCTTTATTTGTAGCATACTTCTATTAATCTGAACAATCTTGAAGTTTGCAAGCTTACTTTGTGAAGATCTCCACACATTTACATCCTTGAATTCCGTGGCACATATTCACTATGGTGTCCATTTATGAACCAGCGGTAATAGATCGCTGCTCAGTTCTCCTTCATTCTCGGAGAACACAGTTCTCCTGTGAATGCAGTTTATGAAGCAGTTCTCCAAACGATTGGAGAACGATCTCCAAACGCTGGAGAACGGTCTACAAACTCTGGAAAATGGCTGATTTTACTATAATCTCACGAGATTACAGTAAAAGATCAGTTTACTAAGCAGAGGTAAATTATCTCTGCTTAGTTTGCTGTCCCTCCGATTCTCCAGCTCTGGGCTGGAGAATCTGGAGGGAGAACACAGATCTCCAGCGAAGGGCTGACATGATCTCCTGAGTGTTATAAAACTGTGAATGACCAGAGAATAGCTGAGATCCGTTGAATCGCAGCTATTCTCTGTGTCATAAACGGACACCTTAGTCCTGTGGGTAGGCACTGCTGTATCACAGAATTCAAAGAACCAGCCTTCTGAACTACAGAGGAGCTGCAAACCTGCAGGGAATCCAAGAGGTTGTGGAAAGAGATGGCCAGATGACAGGAGGCATTCACAACATGATAGGAGATTTGTCAAATAATCCTATAATGAACTGTCAAAAATAATTATTGTTTGTATTGTCATTACAATGCTGATGGCAAATGAAAATGTATGCTGTAACCATAGATAGGGGCCCCGTACAGCCTACCTGACTGCCCCCCCCCCCCCACACCGCCAGAGAAAATATCAAAATTATATTTATGGTAAAAATACACTAAAAACATTATTAACCCCTTCACGCCTAAGGGTAAAACAAATCTAAATGCCTAAGCACAATTCTGCAACGTTGACATGTTAGTAAAACCGTACATATCGTCACAACTACTTTGTACATCCAGGTGGATTATACCTTGTTTTTTTCAGGACAAATTGGGCTTTCATTTGGTGGTAAATGGTCATGGATAGCTCCTAATTTTTTTTTATTATTAAAGGAAAACTGGGCCAAAATAGTAAAAAAAATCATTTTTTTTAAATTTAACTGTGTGTTTCTTGTTACGACCATAACCTACCACCAAAGAACAACCCAAAATACATTCTCCAGTTCTTGACGATCGCAGCGATACCATATATGTGTATGTTATTTGTTGTTTGTACCCGTAGTACAGCCCAGAAACAACAGTGCGCATTTTGTTTTTGTCTTTTTTTTTATTTTATTTTTTTTTACATAAAACACACTGTCACTGACATTGACATTAACACTAACTGACACTGATACCAATTTTTTTTTTTAAATCCTGACCTTTGACCCTGACCTTTGCCCTTGACCCTGACCTTTGACCCTGACCTTGACCCAAACACTAACCCTGGTACTGAACTAGATCAAACCTTGATCTAGGTAGTTTTCTTTATTTTTTAATATTTATTTATCTTTTTTTTTTTTTTTTACAAACTTTTTTTTTCTCTCTCTATGTCAGGAGTTCGAGAGATACAATGTATCTCTCTTCTCCATTCATAGAGAGAGAGAAAACAAGGGGGCCGGGCTGCACATTGATTGATCACTGTGATAGCCAATCAGAGGCTATCACAGCGATCACGTGACCCGGAATCGGGAGTCCCGGGTCCCGATCGTTAGAACGGGACCCGGGGCTCTCAGTGACACCGCGGTCTTGGTGCTGGGAGCGCGCCGAGCGGCGCGCTCCCAGCACAAAGACAGGTACGCAAATATGCGGCCCCACGGAAAAAAGCCCAGGTCCGTGAGGCCGCATATTTGTGTTACGTCGGCGTCAAGGGGTTAATGGACACGATCCCAACCAAATTCCTGTTAAATCTAAATGATAAAACTGTACTGAGTTAATAAATAAAGCTCTGTGTGTAATTGAGGTCTTGGGGCTCATTCACATGGGTGCTGTGGCCTGTAGAGTGTGAATCAGTGGTTTATTTTTGTGGCTGGAGCTGCTTGGAGCTGTTTGCAGGCAACCTATGTTACACTATGGAAATGCTCCAAGTCCTAATTTGACAGGCATATGAGTGCAGGTGAACAGCCCTGAACTCGGACAGTGAGCATTCAGGACCACTTCCCCACGCCTTCGTACCTGTCAGATGAAAACCTGTGTTCACATAGCTGCTGTGTCCTCATAGCGTAACAGGTGGGTCTGGCCACATGAACAACTCACTCATTCATGCTGTACAAGCCAGAGGACCTGTGTGAATGTGGCATTTTTGACAATTTATTTTCCTCAGCTCATTAATTTCAATGGGCTGCCTAACGTGTGGGAACATGTAAAAATACTACAGGCATATTATTTTAAAAGTGTGTTGCACCTAACAGCACAGTAGTGTGGTGCCATGCGTTTTATTGGCTGTGAATGCATCTGTCTTTACTAGATGTGTGGAGGTGCAATTAAGTATTTTTGGTACCTACACACATCTGCAAGGGGCATTGCTTTTCTTTCTGTGTAGGAAAATGCGTGCTCTTGCATGCACTTCTGCACCACAAATGGTCTAAACAAGTCCTAAGGGTCAGTTCATACTACAGAAAATACAGTCTACATGTGTTTCCGATGTGTTTTTGCATGTGCGTTGTTTACGCGTTTTTAGCGCATTCTGGTGTGTTTTTTTATGCATTTTTATGTGGTCCAGTGCATTTTTTTATGCATTCCAGTTAATTTTTTCCCCTCTTTTTCTTTAATTTAATTTAATTAGGGACATGTGCTTTCCAGTGCAGTTTTGGTGTGTTACGGTGTGTTTTTGATGCGTTTTACCGTTTTACGGTACAGTTCTGTGCAGAAAAAATGCAGCCTGTTCTACTTTTTTTTCTGCAACAGGAACGCACTGGAATTGCAAGGACTGGTGTGAACTATGACATTGACAACCATATAACCTACTTTCTGTGCATTTTGGATGCAGAAAAAAAAGCAACTGAAACGCATGTACTGTGAACTGGCCCTGAGGGCTGGTTCACACTATAGAAACGCAGTCCAGATGCGTTCCAGATGTGTTTTTGCATGTGCATTTTTGGTGCTTTCCAGTGTTTTTTTTTTACGTGTTCCAGCGCGTTTTTTATGCATTTCAGTTCATTTTTTCCCCTCTCTTTTTCTTCATTTTAAATAGGGACATGTGTATTCCAGTGCATTTTTGGTGCGTTCCAGTGTGTTTCGGTGTGGTTTACTGCATTCCAGTACAGTTCTGGTTGCAGAAAAAAAGTAGAACAGGCTGCATTTTTTCTGCACAGAACGCACTGGAACTGCAAGAACTGATGTGAACTATGACATTGACAACCATATAACCTACTTTCTGCGCGGTTTGGATGAAGAAAAAAGGCAACTGAAACACATGTAGTGTGAACTGGCCCTAATAGTTATTATAGGTAAGGGAATGGGACTGACCAGGAATTGTGAATGTGATCAGACCAGGGGCGGACTGACAACTCATGGGGCCCCCGGGCAATAGGGGATCATGGGGCCCCTGTGTCCTTGCCCAAACTCAAAAAAAGCCTATGAAAAAGGTACCAGGGGCATCTCATGGGGCCCCCTACTGACAAAGAGCCAGCAAACACAAATGCTCCTGCGCTTGGGGATGGACTCAATGCAGGCTACAATGCAGGCTACAACCACATTAAGAATGTCCTGGAACATGCACACCTTGCTGCCCTCAAATAGATCGGGGGAATCCAAATATACTGAATGAGGAAAGAACAAACAGAGGGCGCACAGGCCTAGTGCACAACCATAAGAAATGTTTAATAAGAAATAAAGTAGGTTTTGTACTCACAAACGACAATATAGTCAAGGCACATCATAAAAGAACAGCTGGGTCAACACCGCGCTGAGTAACAGTCCGCGATAGGGAGTGTAGACATCCAATAGGATGATGCATTTCGAGGACTTGCCTCTTCTTCAGAGCCCCCTACTGACCCCAGGCCTCAGGCAGTGCCTGAGTTTCCAAATGGTCAGTCCGCCCCTGGATCAGCCCAGTGGTGAGATACAATTAAGAATCTTATAATAGTGCTAGATCTGAGCTGTAGGTGATAGGAAATGGGATACATTAACTAGATCAGTAAATAAATATTGAATAAAAAGTTGAGCAGTGATATATGGATTTGCAGAGGGAACAGGTGATGACAGTGGGGGGGGGGGGGGGGGTCAAGTGGTATAATAAAAGAGAGGTTTATAGCAGTGAACAGAAAGGGATCAGCAGTCTGGGGAGAGGGGAGAAACAAAATTGCAATCAAATGTAAACAGAAGGAAACTTGAAAGTGTCAAACCTGTGGAGCAGAGCAGGAGTACAGCTAATATTCCCAACACTACGCTACTGTGTGATAGAATGACAGGAGGCTAACAATGGAATTTAGCAGCTGTAGATGGACTTGTCAGCTGCCCGGGCCCCCATCTGTAGCTGATGGGGCTGGGCCCCCTACAGGAGGCCGGGGTACCCCCTTATCAGCAGTCCTGACCATAGACATCCTTTAAGCAAGACCAAGCTTTTGGGCTGTGGTGACTTGGAAAAAAAAGAAAACTCTCCTGCAGTGTATGCACCATTGGCCAAAGACAGAAGATGCAGGACCAGAAGATGAGGTGGAGAGGATGGTACATGTGCACATGTTATCAACACCTGCATTGCCCAACCATGGTGCAGGTCTGGAGGAAGTGAGACGAAGCATAATACTCAGATAAAAGGGAGTTTTTAGAGAAGTGCACAAAAAATGTGTTTCATTTTATTTTGGTTTAATTTGTTAAGTAAACCATTTTGTTTCATCATAATAGTTATGTTAGAAGGATTTGTTTTCAGAACAATTTGTTATTACGGAAGAGATATGTTTGCTGTTCTGAATCATTTCGTATTTCGGAAGCTCTGTTAGTATTTTGTTATTTCAGAAGAATGGCTATATTCGTTTTCATGAAATTAATAATATGTATTCATTCGTTATGTTATTAAAGCAGAGCTCCAGTCAAACCAAAAAAAAAATAAACGTTAGCACGTTAGCAGCTATAAAAACTGTAGCTGCTGACATTTAAAAAACAGCTACTTACCTGTCCCACATTCCAGGAGCGTACTCACTGCAGCCGGTTTCACCAGCCGTCCTTGCTCCCTGGCACCGGCATCTTAAGTGTGGGCCCCCAGCTGTGACAGCTTGCAGCTTCACAGCCAGGTGCTCACTGTGCATGTGCAAGTAGCACTGCGCCTTCTGAATGGTCCCATAGTCTTCTGGGACCTGTCATATGTCCAAGAAGACTAAAGGGAGAGAGGGAAGGAGGCAACTTCAGCTTCCGATCACCTAGGCAATCGCAGCGAAAGTGGGAGCGGGTACCTGTCAAAATTGGGTACCTGCTCCCCTAAGCTGCCAATTCCTTATGTGGAGCGGGAGACCAATACTTAAAGGTGAATTTCCCCTTTTGGATGGAGCTTCACATTAAATGGAATACATTTCCCCGTTCCCAACTGATTTTGTTGGACTTCACACATACAAGTTAAATTAATGGTTTCTCAAGTTCAACCCCAATACAAAAAGAATCTACTTTTAGTGAGTATAGAGTGAATATTCTACGTATGAATGGATCTGAATCAATTGGGATCATTTGTTATGTTGTTACATTATTTCGATGCTTCAAACATTAACAAAAAGCCCAAACTATCGCATCATGTGATCCAAATAAAATGAATAAATACAAATTAATTTGTTGTTTTCATTATAGTTTATTTCTGATTAGTTGGAATTCTTTACTATTGTGATTCAGAGATTCGGATACATCCAAATCTCTGTATCACAGAAATTTTGTCCGAATTTCGATTCGTAATGAAATGATTTGCACTTGTCTAGAGATTTTTTTTCATAAATTAAGCTGCAAATATCTCTGGGTCAACTAATCATTACCATGAGGTTTTAAAAGAAGACAAGTTCTACATTTTCCTTAACATGTTTATATTGCCTTTGTTTATGGTTGGTTTATGTATAATAGTGCCTAGAAACCTCAAAAGGTGGAGATGGGATGCATAAAGCTAGCTAACAGAAGGGCAACATAGAGCGCACAATCAGAAAAGAAGATATTTTCCTCTGTATCAGTTCCCCTTTCTAAAAGTAGATTTAAATTTAAGCATACCATTTCCCCAATGCTTAAATGATCCATATAGTTTGAAATAGCTTATTAGCTATGGAAATAGACCATCTTCTTGGCTGGGTACACTATTTAGGAAAAAAAAAGTCTTCACTTGAATACAAAGAAACTTGTGCCTTCAGTAACACAATTATCTGCATTTCTATTAAAATAGGCATCACAATAACAATGGATATAATTTCTAAATCCCAAACTACAGCACAACTAGGCTATAAAAAAATGAGTCGTATCCAGGGACAGCAAAAAAAAAAAGACTAAAATAGCTGCCTTATGTTCAGACTGTCCTCTGATTTAAAAAATTCAAAGTGTTTTTATAGAAACTTTTCTTTTTTGAGTTTTGGGTAGAATGAGGAAAGCTTAGAACCCCTGCCAACCTTTTACCAGACAGGGAGTAAGGGAAAATTTACAACAGGGCAACAGACAACAATGAAAAGCTGATTTTATAATCCCCCTATTTTACTAATCTCTGTGTTGCTGTTAGATGAATATCCCCTCACTTCTTGTCCTGGGACAACCTTTCTTTCAGACAGGAAATGAAGGAAGATCTCCAATGGAGTCTCCAACTGCCGTAGAACTTGACAATAGTTTTAAACCTTTCTACACTTTAAACCTACAAAGGAAAATATCCAAGGGCAAGTAAAGATTAGTGTTTTCATAGGTCATTACGATTTATGAACCCATCAGCAATGCATGCTAAGCTTATGAAAAACTGTGGCATGGTTATGGACATACTGTATACATTCTTTGTATACTGTATGTAGCCACAGGTACTGTGGAGTGGTTCATTCTTGAAATTCACAAGTTAGAGCTCTCTGCTCTCACCCTCTTCCCCGAGCTATTGTCCTATGTTTGCATTAGATAATAAAAGGCTGTAAGGTCACCAAGTCATTGCTGGAGTGGGAAAGCATGGGGAGTTGAGCTGATGAAAAAAGTACTTCTGCTGTAAATTTTGAGGATTAATTACTCCACAGTCTCTGCAGCTATAGGGATCAGTGAAAGCTTGTTTTAAATCTGATAGTTAAGAATGTGTAATTATTTGAATGTCCACAGCCTGGTCTCAGTTCTACCTTAAAGTGGAAACAGAAAAAGATATTAAAAATACTCACTTTGATTCCAGCTTCCAACATTTCTAGGAGGCATAGGTGACATCATGGCGCCTCACCACCGCCTCCTGGGTACTCAAAACTCTGGAAAAATTTTACTCATGCAATAAGCTGGGGTGCATTCTCACTGGGTTGCCCAGCTATTTTATGAGGCAGTGATAAAACAGAACTCTACTGATACCCATACCTCCTGTAGATTTGGAAGATGAGACCAAGGTGACTAATTTTGATCCTTTTTGCTGAAATCTAAAGTTTTATGTGCAGATAATTATGCTTGGATGGAGGAGGGGCTGGCAGGAAAGTGGACCTTCCATTTTTCATGGAAAATCCACATTAAGAGGGGGGGCCATGCAGTCAAGATAAAAGGGAAAATCTCCTTAAGCTGAGCACTGTCTGGGTATCTTCTGTATAGGGAAAAGATCCCAATGAGAATGCTTAAAGCCCAATTCTGGTCAACTAAAAAAAAAATCTCTTGCAGTGGAGCTGTGACTGCAATTCAAGGGTTAATTACTCATTTATGTCTGATGGGAACAATAAAACGAGATTTACTTATCTATCCTGCACTCTTCCTTGCAGCTAGACCGATCCACACAGCTCCTGCAACCGCATGCTGCACCCATCTAGGGTCCTGATGTCATTAAGGCCAGAGCAGGGCCCATAGCCTTGCACTGGAGGTGAGGACACTGAGGGACAGCCCACTGGTGGAGCTTAGAGTAGCACTGCCTTCTGGGGGAGTGGGGGATCACGTAAGTCTCTTCTCCTCCAGACAAAACAAGCTATTAACCACTGCAGTGTGGGCACAGACCTACTGCAAGGAATACATCTTTAGCTGCCTTTAGTTGGGCTTTAAATTGTAAATCCAGCCCAAACTTTCTTTTCTTGTTTTGAATTGGGTGAGGAAGAGTTAGAAACTGTTTTTATTGTTAGGGTATGTCTTTACTGTGATGATGATTTCCCCTCACCTCCTGTCCTGTAATAGGAATCAGTATCTGCAGGCTCAATGTACTTTTGGTTTAGGCCTCATTCACATAGCTAGTAAAAAAAAATAAAATTATAATTTACTACCTTTTTATTTAGGGATCTGAACACAGCTACATTGTTTTCAATGGAAACATTCACACATGTGCATAAATATATACCTGTGTTCAGAACTGTAA